AACGAGTACTTATTTAGTATTGCACACCTATAAAGTTGTGAGACAGTTAGAAAAAAAAAAATGATGCAGCAAAACCAAAGATATCGGCTTTTTTCCTCTTTGTCAAAACCTGAATTACCCACAATGCAAGTCTACTACAAGCTTACTGAAAATCTGGGTCTGTTTTGCAAGTAGTGGATAAAGGGGGAAAATGAGGAGGGGGCTAAAGATTTCTGGTAAGGTCACTTCTTTCTGACTCCACGTCCCCAGATTTCTTTCATATTCTTTAACATGTAGTCTTCAGCCTCAACCGACATTTCTTCCGGGCAGCTCCCACTGGAGCCACAAAAGGCTTTTATTCCACATATTCAGTATTACTCCCCCCAGATATTATGTGTGTAAAATCAGTGGAGTTTTTTTGTCAACATACAGTGTTTCCCATTAATTACCTAGACTATGGCGCCTGTCATAGTTTCATAATGAACCCAAAACATTTTTACACTTCCCTCTAACATTGTGTTTTGTGCAGTTGCTTCAGCAAAGCATTTGCAATCGATAAATTACTGGATGTCCCCTCGCTCTGCCGTCCTGTGCAGTCTACTGACAGTCACACTGCTCTGCATGCAGGCAGACGCTCTCTGGAGCAGATAGGGTGTTTATTTTACCAGCACGGATGAGGTAAAGCAAGGGCAAACAGCAGTTGGTGCCGGTGTCATTTGTTACCACGGTGTTTTTGATTGTTTTGATAGGCTCCGTCATTAACAACGAGCCTCCTCCACACGCGGCTCACCTGCTGTTGTTCAAATCGCTGGTGAAAAAAAATCTGAAACACAAGTTGTGTTTTTTTGGCGACTTTATAAAAATTACAGCTGAATTACATCAACAGAGACACATACAGGGAGAAAAAAACAGAGAGAGGTGGGCGGGTGTGTGTGTGTGTGTTAGTAACAGTGTTAGTTAGTGTAAGTAGTAAAATAAGTGTTATATATATATATACACATAATAAGGGGTAATGTAGCCCAAAAATATAATTTATCTATGTATTTTAATAAAGCTCTTTACTCACAGGAGAGGAGTCTCCTGCTACATTGTTGCTCTTTTTGACAAAGCGTTTTAATCAAATAAATAATCTGCCCTCAATCAATATATAGTGCATATGAGTCCTCTCACTGACATGTATTGGGGACTTGACCTCCACATTATATGAACAGTTCAAGGCAATTAATAGGATGCAATGGCTTTTCACAAAGGAATCTGGCCTACCGCATGCCAAATATGGAGCCCATGTCACCAGGACATTTGTCACAAGCAAGGTCATTGAGCAGTCAAAGCCAAACAGTAAAGCAAACTATGACAAGTCTGCATCCTCCATGTGCTATTACCAGATAGTGTGAGAAAATTACCACCGCCTACCATGAAAATACCACTACATTTTGACTAAGTCTTTTCGATAGATTAACAGCCATGAAAGATACTATTCCAAAGATTTTAAAACTCTCACAAAATGGTAAAAGGAATGGTGAGATATTGAGTGTAAAAGCTCTTGTGAGTGGTTTCACAGCCTGACTCCACGCCGTCCAATTCAGTTATCAGCTGCTTTCTACAGAAACGTTTGGCTCTGGAAAATGTTATGTGTTCCAGCCATGAATAATGTTGAGAAAAGCAGCCTTACATTGAAGCGTTCCAGTGGGAGTCTTACAGTTGATGGTTTTATTACAACACGGTTACCCTTGAATGGTGTTTATCTAGCTTGTAATTGGATGTTTCAAAAAAGGACCATGAGCTGACTTTAGATGACAAAAAATCTTAAGATTGAACTGGGGAAAAAGCTGCTAGCTGTTTAAATGTAAGCTCATTCCATTCAGATTAGTGTAAGGTTGCCACTATACCAGAAATTTAAAGTTTGATACAATACATGCATAAAAAAAGGATACTCGATACCTTTTTCGATACCATGGCAAAAAGGAAAAAACTGCAACTGGGGACATTGCGGTTTATGATCACGTCTTAACCCCCGCAGACATGGTGGTGGGCAGGTGATCCGACTGACAACATTAGCTTTAAATCTGGGCTCCTTGACTGATGATTCGAGTCATCAACATCGAAGGGACAGCCGTAGTCTGTCAAAAAGCATCATGGATAAAATCATTGAATTTGTTTTTGCTGATTGATTGCATTCTAATGGGTCCCCCTCAGCTCAAAAGCAATTTGAGTGGCTGAGACACCTACAGATCCTACAGCTCTACAAGACAGAGGGTCCTATCAGTTGATCTAAATTCAACTAAATGGATTGGACTGATGCAATAGATTTGTGCTGAGTTGTTGCCACTTCCTTAAAGGCCTGTTTGGACTAAAGCATTTTAGCTTAGTTAATGTGAGAGAGATTATAGTGGCTATCATCTAATTAATGCTGACTGTCCCCTGTATGGGAGACTGTATGTAAGAGCGTGTGTGTGTGTGTGTGTGTGTGTGTGTGCGTGCGTGTGTGTGAGTGTGTGTGTGCTTACATGTGCCAGTGCAGTTTGACGTCGCTGACCTTCATATCCCCTGGTTGTGCCAGCAGCCATTTATCTTTTATTCATTCTGCCATTTCTGACCAAGGCAGCTTCTCTGGCACTGACGCTTGTCAAAACAGACCCTGTCCCATGATATGCAGCATGCTGCAGCATGAACAACGTGCACTCTAACAGCTGATGTAGTTCCCTGGGCAAGAATTAAGCTAGCTGGTTCCATTCCCAAGAATTCACCCGCCACTTTCACTGTTTTAACAGCCAAATGAAATTCTATAATTTAATAGATCCTCCAGTTGGCTCACTATCAGCAGTGGCTGGTAGAAAAGACTTACCAGCCATCACTGTTGTTGTTGTTTTCACCATGCTAGGTGCAGGAAGCTTGAGACTGAGTGTGCAGCTCCAACATCTGGCAACAACTTGGTTTGCCTCTCACTGACAGGTGTACCTGCTAAAACAAACTAATGCATTGTTCTAGATCTCCTTGCTTATGTTTAATTCTCTCCACCTGGCTATGTGAGCTTTCAATTATTGAGTTCCCCAAGTTGAAACAACTGAGACCTTGTAAAAACACAACATATACAAATGGGTGATAAAGGAAAAACCAACATAAAATGTAAAATAAGTAAGGTAGTAAGACCAGTTTCAGTGCTCCTTGGTTTAGATTCTACTATTGAGCAACATCCATATTTGAAGTCTTGTAGTCCACCAGAAGGTCATTAGTTTTGCTGATACTGAGCTCCAGCTGATTGTTGTTGCACAATGTGATGAAGTTTTCTTTCAGTCCTCTGTACTGCTGTGTAGATTATTATGATTCTCACTGGAAATTAGTCAATGGAATAATTTGTGTCACTATAGTGATAACTTCTATTTTGCAAAAAATGACACATAATACCTTTTTAATTAATTCCTTCAAAGTCTTCACTTCATATATTATATGAGTCTGGAGAGACATGGCTGTAAACTACAACCTAACTGGTTGTCAGAAGCATACAACCACAAGGTGGTAATTCAAATTTGATAATGGTGGTAGAGAACATTGTCTAACACATACAAATATGTCCCAGTGTTTTACAACTGGACTGAGAGCGGACTACAAAGGCCATAGTATATGAGTTAAAAACAGACTCAGACAAACTGTTGCATTTCAAACCTTCCTCAGACACAATACTAAATATTTCAATGCCAGGAAATACATTTTTACATTGGTGTACTGTGACAAGGTCAAAAAGATGAATTTAGATGAAAATTAAAATGACTTGAGCCTCTGTGGCAGTCCATTGATTTCACTGACGTCAGTGTTAGAAGAACTTCTGTCAGTGCCAGGATTACACCAAGCATCTCATTTAAATGTTCACTGATTGCTGAAGTTGTTTAGCTGAAGGAGAGCTGGAAGACATTTTCAAGCCAAAAATGAGATCCTACGCATCCGATAATGACATGTCATTGGTTTCTGGGGTTGCTCTGATTCTGCTTAACTAGTCCGCAGCTCTCAGCAAGCACCCAGTTCTACTGAGTGGATCTCATTACTGCTCTCACTAAATCATTCTCGCCTGATCATCCCCAACAAAGTTCATTTGTCTGGCGGAAGACTCCATGCAGAAGCTATTATTCCATATTTCTCCCAAGCAGTTGATCACACAGTATGATATGGCAGAGATGGCACCTTCCTCCCCTGAGATTTGAAAAGCAAAAACAAAGTTTTTCTAGTGGGTTGGTTGACATCAGCTAATATATCTGTTATTAGAAGAGAAACACTTCCAGATCTAACAATGAGAAGTTGATATGACATATGTCAACCACTAGTTCTAGTCATTATTTTCTCTTTGCCTCGACTCTACTCTGCTGAACCTTTCGTGTAGTTGACTTCTTTGATCTAGAGCCTTTGATGGCAGATTGTAAATACAACACCATCATGTTTTCTGTTGCTGTCAGGGTTAGCTCTTGACACCTGTGTGATGGATTTGTTCGTCAGTTTCCTTGTGTTGACGGTGCTGCTGCTTTCTTAGTTTGAGGCAGTGAAATGTCGCACAACTGTCACTGTTTGTGCTCCCCTCAGGAAAATAATCCTTAGCATTTGTTATTGTGATGCAATCATAGACATGCTCAGATTTGGGTTTTGCTGAATATAAACAGCAGCTTATTATTTAATATTGTGAGTCTTCGGGGGGATTCTAGCTTTCACAGGTACTAATTGGCTGATATTTGAAACGTTGCATCCAATTTTAGGAATTTAGGAAGTGCAGTGCTCTTAATCATGCACCTTATTTAGCACCTGGGAATCATTTAGCTATTTGTGAAATATGTTTTTAGACATCCCATTTTAGACATAATTTAGTCATCTAAACAAAGCAAAAACACACTCTCCTCTCAACTCTTACAGTAGTGCGTGTTACGACTTTATGATAAATATTCCCTCTCTCTCTCTCTCTCTCTCTCTCTCTCTCTCTCTCTCTCTCTCTCTCTCTCTCTCTCCTAACCATTCTGCTTCCATTTTCCTTTCTTTCCCAGATGACAACTGCAGACTGAGTGACTACCGTGGGCTGAAAATCAAGATTCTGGATTTGCATGACAAACGATACATGGGCTCCAACATCCATGGGGCCCACAAGGACAACATGGCGGCCAGGAAGCAACTGGTTGATATGATGTTCAAACGCTTTGATACAGATAACAATGGTCAAATAGATGCCAGCGAACTCTCACAGGTAAGGATATCGAACAATATATGAGCTTTAATACACAATAAGATATCTAGAACAATACATAGATAACTCTCAATTACTGGCATAAAGGAGAATGCAATAACTTAAACTTGACTGAAGCTTACACTGATCTTATAATATTTCAGAAAATTTATTTAAGTACAGGAGATCTGGCTTTAATTGTCAGTTTCTTCCCCTAAAAAGAAGCTGTTCAACATTTTGTAACTGTGCTTCAATTTCCAAGACTCCCCATAGCCCCTCTTAAGTCTGTCATTTTTATGTAAATATCCATCCAAAAGGGGAGTACAAATGAACAAACCATCTGTGTGCTCAGGTGTTTAAACTAGCGGCTTTGATGTCTGCCATAATTGTGTCCATTTTACTCCTCTTACCCTTCCCTCTGGTAGCTTTGGTGCGTGGCTCTAGGTAAATCTTTTGAAAAGCAATGTGGGTCAAAGGAGCCTTTTGCTCATGGGAGGCTGCAGCCTTTGACCAGCGCTGCCAGGAGGAATGGTTGTAAAAGAGTTTTTTGTGCTGTCATGAGGAAGAAGGATATTCTGTGCATAACAAATACATTCTCCAAGTCCATTCCCAGTACTCTGATTTTATATATATATATATATAGGTAGTATTTAAATAATTGAAAGGGTAAACAACCTGTGGTGGTTTTCAGAACCATGAAACCAGTTGCTATTCTTAGGCGAGTTTCCTGCTGATCTAGTAGGATATCCCATCTGTACAGGGGGTCACCTTGGTTAGCTTCGTCAGTGCTCTCTTGGCCAATGAGGGAGGTCTCATTAAATTTATTTGAATATATTTTAGCATTTTGAGTTCAAAGCATCTAAATAATGCCTCAAAAATAGTGACATTTTTGCCATATTTTCATATTATTTACATATTTTTACATCTACATGGTGCCCTGTGCCAGCATGAGAGAAATCAGTGCTTAGTGAGTGAAATGCATAGTCAACAAACCATGTTGTGCTGTGTTTTATGGAATAATATTGTCAGTGTCCTCTGAATGTGAATTTGAATATGCCCTTTAAACCTACTGAATATTACTTTGGACAGATTTTCAAACCTCTTGGTGATGCCATTTATTCTATTCCAGGCCAAGCTGTACCCCTTCACCTATCCCCAGGTGTTTGAATGACACAAACTAGTCAGTAATAATTAACATCCAGATGGAGAAGCTCTTTTCATGGGTTCCTCAAGGGCTGCTTTTAGCCCTGCTCCCCTTTTTATCCTCGACACATATGGGAATGTTGGCAGATTTCATGCAGTGTCAGCTACACAAGACACGTTCTTAGAGAAAATGAGAGAAGTGAGCATTTCTGGAATAGTCAGAAATTTAAATATCAGTGGATTACAGGTGGCCCTTATGGGGTTTCCAACTAATCAAAAGGGTTTTTGTGCATGCATTCATTCACATACTAAAGAGAAAGACTAAAACCACTAGTTTTCTGATTTGGTCTTATATAACTTCTTTTTCATACTGAAACTCATACTACAGGGCTGTTTTGCTGCAGTGACAGGGAAATTCACTAGTATTTGCACATATCTGCAGTCTAAAAATGTTGAGAAAACTTTTGAGCATCAACATACTTTCACCTCACATCAAAATTACTGCATAATAATTAATTGCAGGATAAATATTGGCTCGAAACAGTTTTATCAATCTGATAAATCACTGAATAAACGAAGGCAGTTGTGGGTTGACAGTGCCTCAACAGAAGGGCGTCTAAATGTAATTATGGATTGGGTCTTTAATGTGTTTTTATGTTGGTGTATTAAATGTTGCGTTAGAATGTAATTTCAGAGTAATTAATAGCTTGGAAAATGTTGCTTTTCTCTCCAAAGGTTGCAAGTTTTAAAAACTCATACACAATACATGAAGGTTCAGAATCACTCAGTGTCAGGGCAGTCTGCATGTTTTCTTAACCTGAGCTGCTTAAGATACTGTAGAACTGGAGAGTTTTGCCTTAGTGACAAAAGATGAATGTGAAAGAAGACAAGAGATTTATGCAAATAACATTTTGATGTGAACCCTCAAAAAAAGCAATGCACAATCAAATCACACTCTTATCAGCAGTTGAAAGTACAAAACCATGGCTGCCACATGCCCTAAAGCGCTCTTTATAATTGGAGCATTCTCTGATCTCATTTGAAATTCTAGGATGGAAATCCCTCACCCTGGCTTACTTGACTTGCTAGAGTGTGCACATAAAGGGGCACAGGGAGCAATTGTCCCTGCCCTTTTAGTCATGGCTGCCCTTTTAAAATGGCAAATCAAAACTTCTTTTTTCATAAATTGCCCGTATCTATCATTTGACCAAAGACAGAATGCCTGAAATCATACATTTTAGCAAAACGGGTATGAGAAGATGGTATCTTGTCCACCATGGACCCTGCGCTAGCACTATACCCTCATTGAAAAAAATTGAACAAAAATGGGGAAATAAACATTGCCAGGCAAAGGTTATGGTGTTATCATATAAGGCTAGAGGCATTTTTTATCTTCGTCTGATTTTGCACTTTTAAAGGTATTTTAACATTTATAACATATTTTGTCAATTATAATTTATAAAAAAACAAAATGTCATAGTTCATAGCTTTTGGAAGGACTGCTCTTTTTGTCCCTCCATATAATTTATAGTGGTACTATAGTACAGTCATTATGCCGTTCTGGAAATCTTTTGGAAAGGATTTGTATTTTCGTTATATATCTTTGACAAAAGGTCCCACGGACAGCATTTTGAAAATCAGAGCAGAGAAAATTAAGTCCTCATACAGACCAGAATAGGTATAATGAATGGGTAAATCTTTGTAAATTCTCTATTCTCTTAAAGACCAATGGTATTAAAGGTCAGTTTACAGAAGCCACACACAAGGTCTTTACCACAGCCTTCCTACCTGTCATCTTCTTACTAATGCAGAAGATTTTGGCAGACATCTTTGCAGCTATAATGTCTGTGCTACCAGAGTTGGTTCTGTGTAATTACTGAAATGAATCTAAAATGTTACCGAGTAAAAATGTAACTGTGTCTGTCTGTAGCTGTTAATTGTGAAATAGGTGTTTTATCTGATTAACTAGCCAATGTTCCATTGGCTGTGTAGATTAAGCTTCGATTTGAAACAGGCAGAAGCTGCATTCTCATTAAACATTACAGCTGGTTATCCTGTCAATGATGTCTCAGTTCATTAAGCTCACAGCGTCTGCCATTGAACATGTCCGTGGTCCTCTTTTACTGTGGTTGAATAGTCACTCACTACAGAAAAGCAACCACAAAAATCTGAAGTAACCAGATGAATCAAAAGGTTGTGTGATGAGAGTAAGGTCATGTAATGAAATATTCAAGATTTACAGTTAAAACATCACAACCTGAGAAATTTGTACTGTAATGGTATAGGAGTCACAAAGGCTACCTACATTACTTCAAGTCAAAGCAAGCCAGAAAAAATTACCAGAGAGTTAAGAATATTTGGAGTAGTACCTTTGTTCATGAGGAATCTGCGAAGCATTTCAAGTGAGCACTTATCCCTGGCTCAATTTTGATTTGGTTTCAATGCATAAATTATGAAAACAAAATCTAATCTGATCTAATCATTCAAAATACAGAACACACAAGCAGCTGTTTTATTGTGTATGCCACATTTAATTGTTAGTTTAGGATACTGTAAGGGTATGCCATTACAGGTGACACCTACATTTTGGGCAAGTCATCTGGGAAGGTAAGTGCACTGATCCGATGGACGAGGCATGATGTATAAAGCCGTCCCTTGTGATCAGCATTTTGACAGCTGATCTAGTATGATGGATGTTTTACTGCCAGGGCCATGCAGAGGCTGTTGAATAGGATCATGCTTTAGCAGGATGATGATAAAATCTGCACAGTGTTTGGGGCCTTTCCACTGTCTATTGTGACAAAACTTGAGTGAGTCTCAAGTAGCTATGATAAACTGACAGCTAATACTGGGTGTGTTTCATCAGTATGACATTCTTGTGCACTTAATGTTGACTCATTTCAGAGAACTTTTCAACATAGACAGTATTAAGTAAGTTTACAAAGTAAGTAGATTCACTCTAGTGTTGTACTTAAAGCAACACTATGTAAGATTTGGTATTTGCTGCAATTTGGCACCCCGTTTCTATAGACAGCTGTATATGTGAATTTGTTATGAATATTTATGATCAAAAGCAATTTTGATTTAATTCTATTTTATGCTTTCATTCCATTTTCATTTATTTATTTTCATCATCTGCTGTGTTACTGGATCTGCTGTAACAATTGAATTTCCCCAGTGTGCAATCAATGAAGTCTATCTTATCTTATCTTGTCTTATCTTATTAATTGTTTTATTATATTAATTTAGCCAGATAAAACCAACGTTCAACAAACATGTTTATCATGGTTCAAACACGACACTGTAAACATTATAAATGTCTATCACAGGCATTAAAATCAAACTTTGTAGTATTAGTAAGTTTAATCGGTGTTTCAGTTGAAATAAATGGCCCAACAAAGGGCCCATTTCAACTGATATGCAAGAATTAAATAAATACATTTTACCTAATGTGTATAGGCATGGATACAGGAGGGGTCTTAAACCATGCCTTATAAAAACCATCAGTTGATTTTAAAAAAGTGTTATACGGAGAGAGAGCGAGAGAGAGAGAGAGAAAGAGAGAGAGAGAGAGAGAGAGAGAGAGAGAGAGAGAGAGAGAGAGAGAGAGAGAGCAAGCTAGAGCTCATGTGGACAAGCAAGTGTGAATATGCAAAGTAGGGATGTCCCAAATCCTCAAAGAACGGTATTGAAGCTGATCAAGGGATTTTTTTAACTGATCTGTATCAGCTATATTGAACTATATTGACACATTTGTTTTACTCGCAAAGCTTGTCAGTCCAGCTGTCGTCAACTCTGTCAACTGTCTCTCTCTCCTCCACTCGGGTGATCTCTGTGTGCAGGATCTAGCCCCACCTGCAGCAGTGTTTCTCCACAGACAACAGTGGAGAGTGACACACTCATCACACCACTGCAAATGCAAAAAAAATACAGCGAACAAAAAGCCAATAAAAGTAATTTATTAATGTTATCTGCACAAAAGATGTACACACTAGGAAAGTAAACACTCAGCAGAATACAGTTCATCCAGGTAAGGCTGCAGAGAAGCAACAAACGCTGCAGGATACTTACTAAAGGGAGAGAGAAACTCCAAAAGACTGCGACAAGACCAAAGAAGTTTGGGTTAAGCTATTTCAAAGCCTACTTTTTTGTGTGTTTTTTGTTTTTTTAAAGCAATTTATTTATATATATTTCCTTAATGCAATGCAAAGCTATTTACCTGCCTTATCTTGGAAAATACAATATCTTCTGTTAACATTGAAGGACAGATAAATCTGCTTTATATGCTCGTCTCCTGTATTAAAGGTGGCCTGTATGCTCACTGCACTGCATTATTATAAACTATAATGAACTGATCGTGGGTCATGTCTTGTCCCTCTTCATCTCCTTGCAGTTCCCATGGATTAGTTATGTGTTGTTGCCTGTGTCGGCTCTGTGGCTGCTTTGATATACAGTACTGTTGGTGTTTAAGTTTTCTGCCTGCTGTAGTGTAAAATGTTCTCAAATTGTTAAAAATTATTAGATAGGAGTTATCCTGGCCATTTAGATTAATACAAAAAATATGTATCATTTAGTATGACGTCATTATATAGTCTGACCTTCTCTCAGCACCCCCAACTGTTGATTTCCAGCGTCCCTGTGTATCGGCGACAACCCACTTATTCTTCTTCCAGCAGTCGTAATTTCTGCTCCCCCTCTGTCTCTTGCTCTCCTCTCCAGGGCTGTAGTTAGCTGTCCATGATGCTGAAAGTGCACAAAATGTATTTAACTACCATATGTTCCAGACGCTTTTCATTCACAAGCAAAATATGGCATTACTTTTGCATTGCTTTAACATTAATACATTCACATCAGCAACACTTGCATTGTGTTTTCAAACATATATATATATATATATATATATAAGAAATACCCAGTAAACATGTAAATTACCCCCCATGTGGCATCAGTGTATTTGTCCTTCAAAATTGATTTACTTTTGCAAATGAGTTGCATGTAAATGTAATTTCTAAGAGACAGTGTTCTCAAGCTTCTTTAACCAGACATAAATACATTCTCATTGAAGGTTATCAAGCAAGAAGGTCTGTCCAAGGATGTCTCAGAGTGCACATTGTTCGACCTGCTGAAGTACAATGACGTCAATGACGACGAGCACCTGACAAAAGAGGAGTTTTACACAGCTTTTGGTGAGTCCAAAGTTTTGTTCATAAAATGTTTTGTGTCATTAGAAAAAAAACAGTTCTTCTTTCTTGTCTTAAACGCTGTCCCTGGAAAAATAAGGTTTAGTTTCTTGCACACATTTTTTATTTACTACATGTGTGTAAAAGATGATGACATTCTCAGTCAGTACTTTTAAAATCTCCTGATGTGTTTTAACATGTGTCGAAGTTTATTGGTAGTCAACAGGTCTGCGTCATTTTTCACCAGTTAATTATTATTCACTTAGACAATAATGCAATATTATGTTTAAATTGTTACAGAAAGGATAACTTGCAATCTTAGAAACAACACAAATCTATTTGAGTTAATGACATACATACATTTTAAACCTTAGATTATACTGACATGCATGTTTCTCTTCTGCTTTTCTTTTAATAGCATTGAAACTAAGCCATCTGTTTTAAAGTCTTGTGGGGTCCATAAAATAAAAAGGTTATCTAAATAAATTTTGATTGCAATTTACTTTGAACTCTGAAGAGCAACTTAGTATTGGTTGTTAACATCTGAACTGTCCATCTGGTGCATTTCCTCGGAAACATGGGCCATTACAAAGTTATGAATATGATAAACTTGAAATAGTGTTTGATATCTGGCCAAAGGTTAACCTTTGCCATGTTGTCGGTCTTCAAATGTTTGGTCCACCTGGGCAGATGGATAAAGGGGATCAGTGTGGAGTGCCAAAGGAAGCAGGTCAATACTACTGTGAGATACTATTTCCAACCAAAATCCCCCCTCATTAGGCAACATAATGATGACAGGTACTCTGCCATAATCGAGTCACACCAAAATGTGCACCAGTTTCCTCCTCCTCCTTTTGTTTCCTCCTCATGCTCTCTTTCACGGTTCCTCCCTGTCTGACATTTTCAGTCAACTCAATATCCTCTGACAGAATATCCTCTGACATTTGGCTGGCTTGACACACTTAGCAGTGGGAGAGAATTCATGATCAACCTTCATATCATCGGCCCTTTGTATTTAAAGCATTCTTTAGAGCAGACAAAGTCATGAGAGCAAGTGGCAACATGTCTCATCTTGTCTGTTATTCTCCACATCACACTTGAATGTGTGGGAGCAAACCCCTTCTGGCAAATCACGAAAAGAAAGTAACCCCAGCCAATCTGGGGAGAGCTGCTGTTCCTTGAAGAGTTGAGTTGCTCCAACTCCAACTATTTCCTCTTATGTTTTTTTAGATCTTTTTTGCAAGCTTCCAGCTTAACTCCCCATAAGGAGACTGGATATTTAATGTTAGTAAATCTCCCCCTCTTTTTTGATTTTTTTTAACCTGTCTGACACCGCTCTTTTACTTGTTCTTTTCCATTTTTTGGCCTTATTACAATACTTAGTATTGTTATTTAGCAAAAATGGATAGTTGCCAACATATGTAAATTACTGATTATATAAACCATTTAACTTAATCTCTTGACTGGGGATTTATAGGGAATTGCTAGTATATTCAGGTGACTATTAGTATCAGATTTAAGCACGCAATAATGGTCTTGGTAGTCTTTGACAACAACTCAACTTCAATCAAGAATTTCATGCACATTACTTGACTGCTCAAAGCCATTTCACCTCTGTTCACCCAATACTGAATATTTGAGGAGTGTTTTACATACTTGGAGGTCATTGTCGTTCTCAGCTTATGTCTTCTTCGCTTTATTGTTAAACCTGCTTCACTCTGCTAAATGCTTAGGTACTTCAAAGACGGGCCCTCAGTGTGCCTGTGAGGGAGCTGAGAAAGAAAGGCTGATTAATAGGGTCACAAATTCACCTCCTCCAGAGACTAACAACTGTATTGTACATTTCAATTCACTTAATTTCAATAGAACTGTTCACATAACAAAGGGAGATAACACAGTCATTGTACAAAGGATCTGAAGCCTTAAAGGTCCAGTGTGTAACATTTAGCTGCAGAGTGAGCAGTCCTATCCTGGGCCGAGCACATTCCATCTGAGTTTGTGATGTTTCCAGTCATGATGCTTACTGTTGGTCCTCTGTAAAAGTAAGCAAGAACTTAACATGGCAATTTTGCTTTCTTTTTCCCTTAGAAAATACAGTTGTTTCTGTGCTTTCTTAACCAGGGTGGAGATGTGAGATGACCATGACAGGTGCTCTGTGATGTTGATTCCCAGGAACCTAAAACTGTTCACCTAAAACTGTTCACCTGTTCCAACTCAGTTCCACTAATGTAAACAGGGGTGTGTGTGTGTGTGTGTGTGTGTGTGTGTGTGTGTGTGTGTTTGCCTCCTTTTTCCTAAAATCAACAATCAGCTCCTTGGTTTTGCTAACGTTGAGCAGTAGTGTTGATTTCCTCCCAATATGAATTGTTGTTTGAAATCCAGCCGATGATGGTGGTGCAGTCATGGGTGTATAGCGTAAACGGGGGGGGGGGCTGAGCACTAAAGCACTTGAGCATTAAACTGGAAGAGGTGTGACCAGAGTGCTGAGTGTACCAAACAGATGCATGGGAGAGATTGTGCTGAATGCTGAGCTGAAATGAACAAACAGCATTCTGATGTAGGTGTTGTTTGTCTCAAGGTGTGTGAAGACTAAGTGGCGGTCAGTGGAAATGGCATCGTCTGTGGATCTGTTGGTTCTGAATGCAAACTGGTGAGGGTCCAGGCTGGCAGGGATGTTGTTCTTAATGTGCTGGATAACCAGTTACCCAACGCACTTCATCATCATCAGAATGGGGGTGCCACAGGGCGGTAGTTGTTAAGACTAGACAGTATAAACTTTTTAGGTACAGGGAAGCTGTCTTAAAGCAGGTGGGAACACTCCTTTGACAGTAATATTTTAAAAATGTCAGTAATGACATGAAATAGCTGGTTGGCACGTTTTTAGTACACAACCAGGGATGTTATCAAGCCCAGCAACTTTATTCATATTCCTTTTCAGCAGGATTCTTCGTACATCCACTGTGGATACTGACAGCAGCTGATCCTCTGGAAGAGGAGTCAACTTTATAGCTGACTCTTTGTTGAGGAGATCAAAGTGAGCATAAAATGTCTTTAGCTCATCTTGTAGCGTGGCCTCACACTTGATGGGGGTGCTCCTGCTTGTGTAGCCTGTGATGTTCTGGATCGCCTGCCACAAATCTTCATTGTTGTTGGTGTGGAGGTGTCTCTCCAGTCTCTGCTGGTGTCTCCACTTTGCCTTCTTGATGCCAGTTCTGGCAGTGCTTGTCACCTGACCAAAAGGCAGCTTTTTGGCGCTTGAGAAAGCCCTCACTTCTACATTCATCCAGGCTTTCTGGTTGGGGAATGATTGTATTGTCTTTGTGTTAACTGGTTAATTGTTGCACAGACAATCTTCAATCTTATAACAATATGGCTGACATCTTAACAGGAAGAATTCTACATCTGATAAACATTGTCCATTCACTTAAACTGCCCTTGAGCATCATTGATGGAGTCTCAGGCAACTGTATTAAAATATGCCGCTGTTGCCATGACAATGGTATCTGTAGAATTGTTTTTGTTATCTTTAAATGAGCCGTTTTTATCTACAGAGGGAGTGGTTCCTTTTCTGCAGAGTACATGTTGAACTGCCATGTTTCCGCAGGAGCCTGGCCATCATAGTTTATTCTACATGCTTGTAGGGCAGTGGTAAGAGTGGTAATCAGTTGGCAACTTCACTGCCAGTTGTTACTAAATTTTTGGATACATTGGCCCTTTAAAAAACAAAGAGACCTGAATTTGTCAAAAGTGGGTAGATTTTAGATCTGGGCCAGACAAGAGAGCCAAGAAACATTAGAAATTGTCTGAAACCTGCATTGAGTTGCAGACAGCGGTGTCAATTCTCAGTGGGTTCAACCTTTTCACATAATGGGGAGCCATTAAATTCAGTGTTCATATATTTATTTGCTTCTATCAAGGAGGTCAGAGTTAAGTATGCTGAAGGACTGTTCAACATGAAGGTTCACATCATACTGGGAATTATACTCTTATACAGTTAACCTGTGTCACAACCAGATCACAGTGATGCATTATGTACCCTGTCCTGATGCTCATAATCATCTACCATAATCTATAAGATTCACATTAGGAAATACATGCTAATTGGGAAAGCATTACTTTTTACTATGTTATCGGATCTAAAAAACATTAGTCAATCAGATTTACTGAGCATGGCCAATATATTTTATTACTGTTGGTGTTCTTCCATAGACAGATATAAAACTGCTATATAATGTAACACACAGTTAGAGCTAAATCTTTTTTTAATATGTCGGCCCCCGGTACACAGCTGTTGATATAATGTAATTGCAGGCATCTTCAATAATGACTTGAATCGTAGCTTTGAAAATGTATTTCAATGATATGTAGGTTGGAGATGTAGCCAGGAGAGCAGCAGTACAGTGGAGCAACATGGTCAGAAGTCGGGTCATGGATTTGACCTCATAGACCATGGTCACAGTGCCTGAGGCAAAAATGCATTGCAAGATGATAGCTTTTTACTTCATTGCCGACATAATCTGTGAGTGGCAGCTATAAAAATCTATGCAAATAACTTAAGCGCTGTCGTAAACTGAGCACCATCATGAAGTAAATCAGTTGATCCACTGTGTCCAAAATTATGGTGCAGCTTGGAGGCGAACAGCAGTAAATTCCGAATGACTCCCCATGAAAACGGCACCTGTCTGACTACTCTGCTAATAAGGACCCTTTGCACACCTTTGTGGAATATTCAAAGCGTGGCAACATTGTTTGTCAGGACAGAAGATAAGACTTTAATGCCCATGCATTATTCATTCCTCCTTTGCATAGACTAGAAGGGGGTTGAGAATCAATTTGCTTCAGCTAGCAGTAAGGAAACTGTCTGGCAGAAGTGATGTCTTTTAATTAGATGATGTTACAGATATGAATGATGTCTGCCACGCTACTGATAGTCAGCCCCTTGTCATCGTTGAATAATTTGTTGAATGATGGCCTAGTGCATCATGGGTAAACAGATAAGGTGTCAT